GTTCCACAGAATCCCTTGGTTTAAAACCTAAACCACGCCGTGACCAATCAGCGCTCAGGGAGGGGCCCCAAGTTAATCCCTTTAACTCGCGCCGGCATATCAGGAATCTGAAGCTGTAAAGCCGCCTCACAGCTCCAGAGGGTCGGCTAGAGCTTGCGTCTCTCTATGGTGGAAATCTCCACTTAGATAGCACCAGAGAGACCGCTCTTTGGGTAGGCAGGCAGAAAAGTGGGCTGGGACAAGGGGATTGAAGGGATGGTGGGAACGTGGGGTAAGGCGGAGAGGGAATATAGTCTCTTGTGCAACACAGTTTGTTACAACAATTAATTTCTTACAGAAGCATATGTCTTCTGTTCACTAATGGGCAGGGTTTTCATGAACTGGCCAATAGCTTATAGAAGTTGCTAGAATAGGTGGCTCTGTTAAATTATTTATATTATAATGCATTGCTTTGGCACCTAGAGGGTTAATGACAGCCAAGCATTAATCAGGAAAACACTGTCAGTCCAGACAAAAAAAATCAAAGCAACTGAAGAATAATATCATGTTTAAATCTTGTGCAAACACAATGCAGGAGAGCAGGACGATTAAAACATGCTATGCACCTGCTCTTACATTGATGCCAACAAACAGCCAGAGAGATGTATCTGAAATTAGAAAAACTCCCTGCTGTAATTTCAGTTAGCTTCATCATCTTCAAGCAGCTGTGTGTAAGAACCAAGTATACATACAGCCATCAGAGTACAGGGACCTTTCCCTACTGCCAGGTGATAAGCAGCCCTGAGGGGGTTTATTCACTAAAATCTAAATTGTAAAAAAATCGGAATTTCATCATTTAGGTTTAAATGACCAAATTGTGACAGCCAGTGTGGAGTTTTTTTTTCTAAATCATTTATTTTTGTCTAAATTTTCCTACTTGGCTTTTAGTTTGCTACAAATTGGATTTTATTAAAGACACGGAGGCTCATATTATGCATAACTCTTTCTTTATTTCCTCAGCAGCAAAGATAGAGGAATATAAATATTGTCAAAATGAAAGAAAAAACTGTATAGATACACAGGCAACCAATCACATAACAGAGGAAGTGACTATAAAAGGCCTGTGTCTCCCACAATCCCCCTCTTTCTTTGCTGCTTCCTCAGACAGCTAAGTACCTTGCTTTATGCTCTTTGTTCATTGTATACTATTTGATTTTATATTGTATTTATATGGTATTTATACTGTATTTATATTGTACTTATGTTGTATTTATATGGTATTTATATTATATTTACTGTATTTCTATGGTATTTATATTATATTTATATCATACTTGTATTGTATTTATATGGTATGTACATTGTATTTCTATTGTATTTGTGGTTCCTATTGCTGCCTGCTCTGTGCAGCTGCCTCTCACTATTTTATCCTTTTTCCCCTGCGCTGGTGTTTCTCCTCCCCCCCCGCCGCGCCCTCCCTGCCGGCTGGCAGGTGCCGCACGGGACCCAGGTCTGCTTTCAGCCGCGGATTCTTTCTTCCACCTGCCTCGGCTGTCAGCGTCTCCCGGCTTGCTCGCCCTTCCCCCGCCGGGTTGCAGCCCGCGAGCGCTCTCAACACGTGCGGCGGCCATCTTGGGGGCGGTCCTTCCTCCGGTCGTTCCCTTCTGCTGCCGTGCGCTCTGCTCTGCCTCTGGGTCCCTGGGGTGCACCAGTGCTAAGGTTTTTCTCTATTCCCTGTCCTCTCTTCTGTGGGTTAATCAACCCTTTTTTGCCTTGTTTCGTGTATAGACTGTCCTACTGGGTTTTTCCTTCCCCTTGCACATTAGTTGCCACTATGCAGGATAGGGAGGATGGGCCTGAGGGCCTCACCACTGATTTTAATCCAGACAACCCTGTGGGGGCTACTGCTTCCCAGGAATTTCAAGCCCTGCTAGATGCCACTATGGCCTCTTCCTTGCAAAAGGCTTTTGCTTCAGCCATGGGTGCTGTATCCTCCTCCTTTTCCCAATCCCTGCATTCCTTACTATTGCCTTCCATGGTGACCCCCGCCCTCCTGGGCATGGGACTACCCTCTCCTACCCTGACTGTGCCGGGGGCCCGTAAGGCTAAGGCGAAGTCTAAACACGTCGACTCCCACTCCTCGATGCAGGTTCTACCTGCCATGACTGACACGCTAGAGGCGGTCACAGACAGCGCGCCTCCCACGCGCAAAAGAGCCCCTGGCCGGGCTAAAAAGGCTAGGTTATGTAAACGGGCTAAAGCCCTGGATGATGGGTCGGATACCGATCGGAGTGTGGAGAATGAGTCCGACGTTATGGAGTATGACTCCTTTGATGAGGGTGAGTCGGGTGAGGACTTACCACTTACGGGTGTGACACCTTCTGGGACCCCCGCCGCTGCCCATAGTCAATGGCTAAACCCCACTGGGGATACCAAGGCACTGGTTGACCCTCAGGGCAACCCTCTATTCGACCCCGATGATCTTCGTCACCCTAGGTCCGCAGAGTGGGTTCCCCCAGACCATATTGCTCAGTACGTGGCACGACGCATGCATACCCCCCTTTCCAAGGAGGGTCGCAATAAGTTGCGGGCCGAATGCCCCAGGCCCTCTCTACTGGGCGCAGCCTGCAAAACCCCTGACATCGACCCACAGATTGCTCAATTCATGAACAAGTCAGGATGGAAGCCCAAGAAGGGCTTGGACTATTCGCTCAAAGGGTGCCAGGACAAGCTCTTGGATACCCTGGGCCCTTTATCCAAATTATACGAGCTCCTGGACGCCGCTAGAGCAGGCAATTCCGTGCTAGATGTTGACGTTGCCATAGGATGGGTCCAGAGGGCTATCTGTCTTTTGGGGAACGCGAATACTGCCATGTCCTCGGAGAGGCGTAAGGCGATACTCCTCAAACTTGACCCGAAATTGGCTGCCATGACAGTGGCGGAACCTGGTCCATCCGAGGAAGGAGTATTGTTTGGTACTTCCTTTGTTAAAGACTTGGGGTCATATGTTAAGACCTTTACGGCCATTGACAAAGCGCAGGCGAACATGAAGCGCATGTTCGCACCCAAGGTTTTCGGAGGGGCCGGGCGTAGCAGGAACCGTCCACCCGGCCGTGGTTTCCGAGGCTCCTCGCGTGCCACAAGAGGTTCCTTTTTCCCGTCCCGGGGATTTCAGGATCCAAGGACGCCTCCTTTCTTCCCAGCCAGAGGAAGGCCTTGGGGCTCCAGATACCCCCGCGGTGCCGCTTCGGGCAGACGCCCTTATGGTAAGTACCCTTTCTTCCCCTATCACTCAGGTGCGGGTAGCGGGCAGGCTGGCTCTGTTCCACCAGGGGTGGGCAAGTATTACTTCAGATGCTTGGGTCCTACAGAGTGTAAACGGCTATCGCCTGGAGTTTGTTTCTCTGCCTGTCCAATTTCATGTCCCCAGGGAATTGTCTCTTCCGTCAGAGCAGGACGAGATGATCTCCGCGGAGGTCGAGGAGATGCTATCAAAGGGCGCCATAGAAGAGTTGCCGTTCGCCGCTCCGGGCTTTACGAGCAATCTCTTTCTGGTTCCCAAGAAAGGGGGCTGGGTCCGTCCGGTGATAAATCTCCGTCCTCTCAATGCATTCCTCAGATACCAGCATTTTCAGATGGAAGGTATACACTGCCTCAGAGACCTCCTTCGGCAGTCGGACTGGCTGGCCAAATTGGATCTGAAGGACGCGTATTTCACGGTCCCGATAGCGATGGAATACAGGGACTACCTACACTTCACCTGGCACGGGAGGCGTTGGCGCTTTACCTGCCTGCCATTCGGCCTTTCCTCGGCACCGTGGTGTTTCACCAAGATCATGAAGCCTGCGATGGAGTTCCTCCGTACCCGTTGGGTACGTTTGATCATTTACCTGGACGACATTTTAATCATGTCCCAGTCCAGAGACCATCTTCTCATACATTTGGGATGGACGATTGATCTACTTCAAAACCTGGGTTTCCTGATCAACTGGGACAAGTCGATCCTAGACCCAGCGCAGTCGATGGAGTTCCTAGGTTTCCAGGTGGATTCCATCCGCTAGTTTCTATACCTGCCGGATTCAAAGGTAAAAGCCATCCGAAAGGAGCTTCGGAGGGCCCTGCGTGTACCGGACCTGTCCGTCAGACAGTTGGCACGTATTATCGGCCTCATGCGGCCTCCATTCAGGCGATATTCCCGGTGCCCACTACATTACCGTGCCCTCCAAAGGCTCAAAGGTTCGCACCTCCGATCGAGTCATTCCTACGAATCTCGGGTACGACTAGACGAGGAATCCAGAGACGAACTGGTATGGTGGTTGGCTCACATGGAAGCCTGGAACGGGAGGGCCATCTTCGGTTCCATCCCGGACGTAGTGATAGAGTCAGATGCCAGCTTACACGGCTGGGGGGCTCGCTGTGGCAACGTTTCCACAGGAGGCAGATGGTCCGAGATAGAGAGATCCCTGCACATCAACTGTCTGGAACTCTTAGCAGGGGCATTCGCGATTCGCAGCCTTACCCCAGGACGGGCAAACTGCTGCGTTCTTCTCAAGATGGACAACGTGTCGGCAGTGCGCTATACAAACCACCGTGGGGGCACCAAGTCCAGGATGTTAGCCCTGTTGGCGAAGGATTTTTGGCAATTTTGCCTTTACAACAATGTCTCCGTGACAGCGGAACACATTCCGGGACTGGATAATTCGGACGTGCATGTTTCGGTATTCCGAGGCCTGGACAGACTATGGGGATGGTTCAGGATGGATCTGTTCGCGTCCCGTCTGAACACTCAGCTACCAGAGTTTTACAGTTGGAGGCCAGACCCGGCGGCGGTGGCGACGGACGCCTTTCTCCAGGAATGGCCACCGGGCTGCCTTTATGCTTTTCCCCCATTCAACATGATTGTCCGAACGATCTCGTAGTTGGCTCGTCACGATTGCCGCCTGACGTTGATCACTCCTCTGTGGAGATCCCGACCATGGTTCCCACGTCTGTTGGAGTTGTCGATAGACTACCCCCGGTTGATCCCGTGCTTCCAGGACCTCCTTCTGGATCCGGACGGGAACTCTCACGGTCTGGTGCTACAACAGCAATTGCCTCTCGTAGCGTGGCTCCTTTCAGGGGAACCTGGGCTGTCCCAAATGTTCCGCGATCAACTCTCCTGCTCCTCGATAACGCCTGGGCTCCCGGTACGAGATCAGCTTACCGTGCTTCATGGAATTCGTGGTCTGATTGGTGCATGGAACGGTCTATGGATCCCGTATCTGCCCCTCTCCATTTGATCCTGGAGTTCCTCACGGCACTGTTTGATACGGGCAAGGCGTACCGCACTATCAACCTCTCCCGCTCGGCGATTTCGGCCGGACATAGTGGTTTAGATGGCTCGCCAGTCGGCAGACACCCTTTTGTGTGTCGCCTTCTCAAGGGTATCCGCCTCGCTCGCCCTCCTAGACCTCGTTTCTCTGTCTTCTGGGACGTCAACGTCATGTTACGGTTCCTCTCGTCATGGTATCCTAACCACGGACTGAGTCTCAAGCAATTGTCCTCCAAACTAGTGATGCTACTCTGTTTAGTTTTGTGTAAGAGGGTGTCTGATGTTAGGGCCCTTGATTGGGACGCCATTGTTTTCACCCCGGAGGGTGTTACTTTCAACATATCCAGAAGGACAAAATCAGCATCCAAGTCGTTCGCATATCCTAGGTTCCCAGGCTCTCCAGCATTATGTCCAGTTGAATGTCTGAAGGCTTATCTGGACGCTACACGATCTCTTTGTTCCTTGGATTTACATCCTTTATTCGTGTCTTTTAGAGCGCCTCATCGGCCTGTTTCGACTCCGACTCTGGCACGATGGGTACGCTGGCTTTTATCCTCGGCGGGTATAGACACTTCGGTCTTTACGCCTCACTCTGTTCGGGGTGCTATGGCTTCGAAGGCATCCGCTGTCGGCTGGAGGACATCATGCGGGCTGCGGACTGGTCTACAGAATCGAACTTCCGCGACTTCTATTTCAGACCTATTGAACATATCGCATCTCAGGTGATGGCACAGCTGTAAACTTGCATAATATGAGCCTCCGTGTCTTTAATAAAATTCCCAGATTTTACTATTAACATGACGTAAAGTCATGATTTTATTAAAGACACGGAGGCGAGTATTATTCCCTTCCACCCTCCCGTGGGGGGTATAGGGACAAGATGCTATTGGACTCTTCAGGTACGTTTTTTCATTTCGGTCTGTTTTTCTGATGTCGTTTTGGGTATATTACTCACTTATTATATTATATTAACTAATCATTTATTTTATGTTTTTTCAGATTCCGGTTTATCATGGAACTGCCAATATTTGTTTTGATCCCTATTTTATCTATCATTGAATAACCAGCAGTTTGTTTTGGTAAGTCTACAGTTTGGAGTCTGGGTATTACCATATTTCTCTCTCTCTTTTAGCTTGAAGTTTTCGGTTCGTTGCCTTTTCCTGTTATGGACAAGTTGGATTTCGTTCTTCTTACCTGGTCTTTGGTTTTCGCAAGAAAGAGGGGGATTGTGGGAGACACAGGCCTTTTATAGTCACTTCCTCTGTTAGGTGATTGGTTGCCTGTGTATCTATACAGTTTTTTCTTTCATTTTGACAATATTTATATTCCTCTATCTTTGCTGCTGAGGAAATAAAGAAAGAGTTATGCATAATACTCGCCTCCGTGTCTTTAATAAAATCATGACTTTACGTCATGTTAATAGTAAAATCTGGGAATTTCAGTGAATAAGCTCTATGGCGTCACTAGGACGTGAGATAAAAGGCACGTCGAAATTATATGATATCCCCACAATCCTTACTAAGGTGTTTGTTGGTTCCACTTAATCGATTTGTCAACATTTTAATTTAAGGCAGGTCTAATCACAATACACAGGCTAATAACACATTGGGTTTTTGCTGTATTCAAGTTTACACAAAAAGTACAGTGTGTGGGTGAAACATTTTTAACAAAAACTATCAAGTAAATGTGTAATAACCTGGTTGTCTATTGCTACGGCATGCACCAAAAATGCCGAATTGTTGTTTGTTTGTTTTCAATGGCTCTATAACTGTGGAAAAGAGTCACAGTACTTCTTTGTCTTTTTTTAGATTTTATTCATGTTGAATGAGTTGCGCTAAATAATTTTTATATAAAAAAGAAAGTAAAAATGTTGGCACAGTTAAAGCATTTTCCCTGCCTATTGTGAGTAAGCAGACGCATATCACAAAGTGGAAGTGTATATTTTGGAATCATATAAATATTCACTCATACACAATGTTGTCCTGGACTGCCTGAGGTTGAAATGGTTCACACTCCAAAAGAGCAGCCATAAATCATGGTTGCCCTTGTTAATTTTGTCTGTCTCTCACTACTGATATGCCAGGAAGGACAAAGGAATAATTGTGCTTGGAAATGTGTGCCCAATTTCAGACAACCCTACTGTATCTTTAATTAAAAACAAATGTAAAAAAACATAGTAATTATGGGTGCACTTAATCGGAATGCATTAAATGACAACTGAAAAAATACCAAGCAACACATTACATTTCAGAACGATTGGCGCCACGTTTAAAGAGTTATTCACTAAAGCAAGAATTCAAAGTGAATTTCAAATTTAAGGTCAAAATAGCTGAATTGGAAAAATACTCTAAGTTAGCTATACTTTCAGTTTTGCTACTATGGCCTTAAATGTGAAATTCACTTTGAATTCTCACTGTAGTAAATAATCTTAAAAAACTTGAGTTGTAGTGAATCAGTGAGTTGGATGATTTTAGTGTCTAACAAAATTCACCATCTGAATATTCCAGTTTATTTTTTTTTAAATGTTATTTAGTCACAAAAAAATAGATTTTTAACCTATAGTAAAAACCATGTGCGAGGTGAACTCTAAATATATATAATCTAGTAATAAAGACGCTAGACCTATCTTAAAATGGAATTGTAAATTAAGTTTAATATCCTCACCTACATACCAGAGGTGACTCTGACGCATATCATTTCATTAATATCTCTAAGAATTGTTTGGAATGTTAGCAATTCTAAAAATAATGTATAATTAATAAAATTAAATGAAGGCAATAAAACTACAGGCATTGAGTGGAATACATTGATTGATAAGGACACAGTATGAAAGGACTTTCCACGTAAGAATACGAAGAATTAAAAAGGTTATAAATTCTCACACTGAGCAACTGACACAGCGCTCTCAACACAACCATTGCCAATGGGTTCATACCCACAGGACCTGCGTGTCCTTCAAACGTAGAGGGCCTGTGTGCTCATATTGAAATGTGCATATCACAGTTTGCTATTCTCCCATAGTCCTGACATGTGGTGGACCTGCGAGTCCAAAAACCAATCGTACCTATCTTATCTTTCTTGTCGAATCAAAAAAAATAATAATAAAAATTACATTTACAAAAAAAAAAAGGTTATAAATTCTAGTTTCACTTCATGTGGGTAAAAATAAAATCAGTTTTATTGTGTTATTTTGCAAAAACAATACAGGTATATACTTTTAAATAAATAATTATTACTTGAATGGAGCACATTAGTAACTGATATGTTTACCAGCAGAGGTCAAGTCTTAAAAAAAAAAAAAAAAAATTATGGGAACTAATCCAGGTTCTGCACCCTTTCCCAATCTATTAAAGGGACACTCCAACACCAAAATACTAAATAAATGAAAGTCACTGTTTTTTATATATACCCAAAATGACAACATCCATATATTTTGTTATGCTTTTTTTCTTGTGGTATATCTAAAAACCTCTTGCGAAAACTTCAGATCTCTTGCCTGCTGACTTTACAAGCCCTCCCCTTCTAGCCCAGCCCAGACTTTCTGTGGCTGTCCAATCATAGATTTCCCAATACAGCTCAATAAGAAGACTTTGCAGGACAGATGCTCTGAACAATTGCTGCCTCTTGAGTTTAGCTCCAATGATCTTACCAAACCAGGCAGTAACAGGACTTGTTGTCTGCTTGAAAGCTGTGGGGGTGTAACCAGGTTAATTTATAAAAGTGACAAAACAACAGGTGATAACCCGAGCCAAAAAACACCATAAAACCCCACGGGTGAAATTAATACCAGCAATGAATAAATATGTATACGTGCTCTCCTTGGAGTAAGAAACTTTAGATTTTCAAAAGCAGAGAAACCTCAAAGGAGAACAGAAATAAACAAACAATGGTGTAGTCTGTCTTATTATTTATATAGATAATTGGATATATAGATAACTAACTCACATTTTTATGAGCTTCTAAGAGCTCTGTTGTATATCGCTTGGACAGTACAATCCCTGTCTCAGGATGTGTGTAGATCCACAGTCTTTTATAACCAATATAATTCCAACATATAAAACAAAGCAGAAAAGGTCTGATATAGTTTAATATGTAAATATAAAGCACATAATACACAAATAAAGTATCCTACTTACACTTTGGAGAGCAATAAACTTGCTCTGGTGGTATAGAGCCAGGGGCGGACTGACAACTTACAGGGCCCTCGGGCAATGGGAGACCAAGGGCCCCCTTATGGTGCAATGTTTTTTAGATACTGCTACTTTTCTCCCCCTTCTTTGTGTGGCTCTCACACAGATATTATATGCATGCTGCCCTGCACCCATAATGGCTGTGAGAACCAAACAGTCATGACTCCCACAAGGTTTTGCTTTTAAGAGGTTAATCCAACCAAAAACAGTGTTTTAATAAAACACTGTTTTTGAAAGGAGTAACCCTGACTGGCATGCTTCGACCCCCCTATTCCCACTAAAATAAACAAATAAAGCCAATATAATAATTATACGCTTTCTCTGTGTTTGCTGGTGACATCACAAGCAGTGTCCCCCACATTTGTTTTCAATCATACAAGTCCATGTAAGTATCCTCCAAACATGTGTTTGTAGGCTACTTGTGATGTTCAGTGTGTGGGATGCTGCTTGTGATGTTGGGTTCCTGTATGTCGTGTTGTGTTAGAATTGTTTGTCTTCTTTTACCTATTGTACTGCGCTGCAGAATATGTTGGTGCTATATAAATGGTTTTAAAAAATTACGTGTGTGTGGTTTTCCATGTGTGGGGATGTTGCTTGTTGGACTGTGTGCATACAGTAAGGCTTCTGTATGAGGCTGTTTGCAGTGTAGTATGTGGTTGGAAATGGCTAGTTGTGTTGCAGTGTGTGTGATAGGCTGTAGTAGGTGTCTGGGGGATACTGGG